AAGTTACATTGTTCTTCCAAATACTGATGTGTATTTCATTACACAATATCCAAAAAAACCCCTCCAAAACAAAACACATTCATTAATATCACTATCTATCTCATCGTAATTTACTGAGAAACTGTCTAGCACATAGGAGCAGATACAAATCTTCCAAAATTCTAATTTTCATTTAAAAGCTCAGTTTTTATAATTGTGAATACATAACGTCAGGTGTTTCCTGAAAGTAACAAGCTCAATACTATTCATTTTTGAGAAAATGGCTGCCAAAAACCCAGGACCAAAAATCAAGTTATTTAAATGAAAGAGAAAAAAAAGCAGCTAATTCAACTTGAACTCTATGTGACTATGAAGATATAATGACCTTTAGTAAGGCTGGAAGCCACCATCTTAACTCAGGCTAGCAATTTTACCCATTACTGCTTTTTCACCATTAATATACATGTCAGCACAGCAAATAAGGTAAATAATGAACCAGTATCATTATGAAAACTGTTTTAACCCTGCAAACCCTGACAGTCTCAGAGACTACCACACCACATTCTGTAGAAGCTCACTTTAAGAATCACTGCTTAGAGGGAATGTGGTGGTGCGGGCCTGTAATCCCAGCACTCCAGGGTGCTAAGGCTGAAGGACTGCAAGGTCAAGCCCAGTCTGAGCAATTTAGTAAGGGGAGGGGGGGATGTAGCTCACATAGTGTAGCTCAGTGATAGGCTCTGCGTTCAATCCCCAGTGTCACGAAAAAGAATCACCACTGAGCCGAGGATGCAGCTCAGCAGCACAGCCTGAACTACACATTGAGACCCTGCACCAAAAAAAAAAAAAAAGAAAAAAGAAAAAGAAACCAATGCAACTTACTCCCAATCCAGTTCTCCAGGCAAATATTTCACAGTGCTCTCAAATGTACTCTACTACAAACAAGTCATTTTAAGAGTTCATTTGACAGTTTGTTTAGATACATTAATATAAATTTGTACTTTTATTGTATGTCCATTAATTTACAGTATAAATTTGTATTTACTGATAGCTATTCTGAATCATCCCCCAAAAGAAAGCACCAATTAAAAAAAAAAAAAAATCACAAGAGCACTTTAAAAAGCTCACTGCTAGGCCGGGGATTTGGCTCAGTGGCACTGTGCCTGCCTCGCAATCGCAAGGTCCTGAGTTTGATCCCCAGTACCAAAAAAAAAAAGTTCACTGCTGAGATTCAACAAATATTTACTAGTTTATTCTGATTTCCCAAATACTCCAAGAGTAAATAGGTTAAACTTTCTCCTTAAACTATTTAAAGTCAACTTCCTCAACCTGAACCAGAACCACATGAAGTACTTATTCAAAGTGCGGTTACCTAGAGTGAACCACAAATCAACAGAATCTCAGGTTCCACAAAGAAACTCCCAAACCAGCATTTCAAGAAGCTCTCCACGACAGGCGTGGTAGTGCATGCCTGTAATCCCAGCACCAGGGAGGCTTAGGGATTCTGCCCAAGATCAGAATTCGAGGACAACCTGAGCTACAATGAGTTCAAGGCCAGCCTCAACTGCATAGTGAGACCCTGTCTCAAAAAAACAAACATAAAAGATCACACACTCAAAAAATCCTGAGTAGATATTTGAAGGGCCCCTTTATTCAACAACAGTGGTTCTCAAACTTTAATGTGATCAGAACCACTTAGAGGACTTACTAAAACAGACTGCTGGTCCAAAAGTCTGCAACTGGGCCAAGTATTTACATTCCTAACAAAGTACCAGATAACAATGGGGAGAGGCTAGTCTAAGGACCACACTTTCAATCTAGAGAGAAGAGCAACAGTACGTGGGCTAAGTTTATTAAAAGAAAGAGGAATTTTTTAAAAAAAGAAAAGCCAGTTAGAAGAGAAAGGGTACTGGTCCCTTTTTTTGGAATCAACTGAGAAAGATGGTGAATTAAGCTACCAGCAATGGTTTGCCAGACCAAAGATAAAAATTACAGTTGTTCAGGGCCGGGGATTTAGCTCAGTGGTTTCGCCGCCTGCTGCGCAAGCACAAGGACCCAAGTTGGATCTCCGGTACCAAAAAAAAAAATTACAGTTGTTCAATAATATCCTGTATTTTTGGAGCATTTCAGCTATAAAGCACTTTCACATTCATCACTTAATTTGACTTAGTGAGATATAAATGAATGATTTTTAGCTACATTATAAAGAAACCAAAGAAAGCCAAGCATAGCTGCTTATGTCTAGAACCGAAGCACTCTGGGAAGCTAAGGCAGGTGGATGCCAAGTTTGAGCCCAGCTTGGGAAACTTAGTGACTTGAAAAGAGCCTGTGTCAAAAGAAAAAAGAAAAAACATCTGGAGATGTGGCTCAGTGCAAGGGCCCTGGATTCCATCCTCACTGCTGCACACACACAGAAAGCAAAACAAACTGAATGGTAAAACAGTGTCCCCTAAGTCCAAAGTGCTTTACAGCTCAGCTCTTTCGCACACCCCCCACCCATGCTGGGAAGGGCCGGCCTGGCACATGCCAGATAAGCGCTCTACACTAAACTATACCTCTAGCTCTTTTATTTTGAGACAGGGTCTCACTAAATATTCTACCTTGCCCAGCTCTTGCTTCCATTTAAAAAACAAGGAGTATATATGAGTTACTGCCAAAACATTTCCTAGACTCCCTACCTAAAAACACAGTACTCCACACTCAATTTACTTTAGTGTTTGGAAAACAATATTGTTTGATTGACAGCATTTATTTTATTCCACTTACTCTAGTTCAAAAACAAAGGATAGAGAATTAAAAGGGAATTTACAAATCATTCTTCTACACAAATTTCAGAGAGGCAATTTTATTGCCCCTATTCCTCAGTCACATCAAACACCATTTGCATCCTGAGTTCCCTCTAAATCTTTCTTAGTTAACCCAGGTTTTCTCAAGAACACTGAAGCTCTCAGGAGGCTGGGATTTCAGCCATGTGCCACTACTCCAAGTGAAACCTTGTTCTTAACCTTATCTGCACATTTCAATAATATCCCAAAATCAAGGCTGCCAGAATCGAAGCCATTGTTCTCTCTCTCCACCACACACATGTGCTTCTGTACTTCTGTACCTAAGGTTTTGGGGATTTTTTGGTACTGGAGACTCGAACCCAGGGCCTCTCACATAGTAGGCAACCTCTCTATCAAGAGCTATAGACCTTGCCTTGGGGGAGAACTGTTCATCTGCATTAAGTGAACTACCACTCACCAAGCAAGAAGCCTGGAAGTCATCGGACATATGTGTCTCCTTCGCACCAATTTCAGTATCACCCTCCACCTCTATTCCTACAGGCCACTTACCATCAGTTACTAATAATAAGCTGCCATTTCATTAGTAATTATCACTACTAGTCACTACATATCTTCTCTCACTTCATTCTCTCAACAACTCTATGAAGTATTTTTGTCCATACTTCACAAATATGAAAACTGAGGCTAAGAAATAATCTGTCCAAGTCATAAGTGAGAAGTAGCAAAGGAGACAGTCAAACTCAATGTTTCACAAAGCCCCTGCCATTTCCCATACTGAAATACTGCCTTCTGTAACACCTGCTACAGGTCCTTCACTACCCATTCCAAAGGATAATTTCTCACCTAGATTACTGCCAAGATTCTCCTAACTGGTCTCCCCCACCTTCCTTCATTCCTCAAGTGCTTCAAATGATCTTTCTGGATCACAAATCTGATCCTTTTATCCTCCTTATATAAAAGCTCTTCTGGACAGCCCACTAGTAAACAGGTTACACTCTATAAAATAAATCCCAATCTACAATCCCTTCCCTACAGCTCCAAAACTCAAAAGCTTCAAAATTTTAGTTAAGTATGCAACAAAACCCACCTGAGCTGCAAGAGGCAATTAATCATCTATTATCCCATGTGATATTCATATGTTTCGGTGTAGAATTAAAGTGTTTGATGAGATGTAAACCCATACCCTACTGGAGTACTATGTAAGAGACCTTACTAGGAAAAATAAAATTTCAAGAAACTGTATTCTGAAATCCAAAACACACCTAGACCCAAAGGTTTCAGAGAAGGGATTGTGGTCCCTTACCCATCAATCCAATTTAACTTCCACCAATCACTTCACATGTTCTCTAGTTGCAAAGATGCCCCTACCTGAATGTCCTCCAAACCAGTACCCACCCTTCAAAGAACTGCTCGAGGATTTCCCTTACTGTGAAGTTTCCTTGACCTTCCCACCATTGTACCACAACCACGGTACTCAGCATCCACCTCAACTACTGCGTATCAGATACGTTAGACCGTAAATGTGATTCTCATTACTGAGCACGGTAATGATCCCAAACACCACGGGATCGTTAACGTCTAGCAAATCAAACACATACATGCCCAGGTCTCCCCAACTCCCATTCCCCTTCAAAGATCATTTCTCCTTCGTCCTCAAACCTTACAATTTTCCCTCAGCAGACAGGCCTCCCCCAGTTCCTCCTTCCCAAATGTCATCTTAAAATTATTTGCTAACAGGCGCCTTCTTTTGGTCCCAAGCTCGCCCAAGTCTTTCATCTACCTCCATTTAATCCGTAGTCCCCTCTCGTAGCCGTGAACAGGCCAATTCCCCTGCCTCCAGAGCCCTTATCTCTTACTCTCTCAACAAGCCCTCTCCCGACCGAGGTCCCTCCACCCCGTACTTCTCGAAACGGGCATCCAGAGCCCTACTCCTCCCCCGGCCCGGGTCCCAGCTCCAGAACCGCACTGGGCCGTACCCGCACGCACAAGCTCCCTCCCAGCCAGTGTCCCCTCCCCCAGCCCTGGCGGCCCGCACCCCTCCCTCCACCCTGCCGAGTCGCCAGCGTCCAGCTTCTCCCAAACAGCCCCAGGGGCCATGTCTGGCGCCCCGCACACCTCTGGGGACGGGGCCGGTGCGAAGAGCCCCGGGCCCCAGCGTCTTGGTCTCCGGATCCCCCGGGTTCGGGCTCAGCAAGCCAGCCCCCCGCGGCCGGGACGTCAGGCAGGCCTGCGGCTCACCTTGCTGGATGTCGCCGTTGCTGCCTCCCGGGATGGGCACGCTGAGCTGGCGCTCGGGCTCCGGCAGGCAGCGCAGGCAAAAGGAGTGAAGGCAGGGCAGCAGCTTGGGCTCCGCCTCGCGCCGGCTCTGCAAGCTCTGCTGACACACAGCGCAGGTGTCCAGAAGCGAGGCTGGCGGCCCCAGGGGCGGCCCCGACGAGGGACCCGGAGCGGGAGCCGACGCCGGGGCTGGGGCCGGCGTCGAGACCGCCCCCCCGGGAACTCCGGGGCCCAATGAGGCCGCGGGGGCTGAGGCAGCCGGCGCCGAGCCCGAGGAGGCCGCGGCCACCCCCCCGTCGTCGGGCCTGGCCGCGCCGCCCTCCGCGCCAGCCCTGCCGCCTTCCTCCTCCTCCTCCTCCACCAGCACCGCCGCGAGAGGCGGCTCCGCCTCCTGCGCCGCGGACCCCGCGGCCCCGGCAGTTACCGGCGCGCTGCCGCTGCCCCCGCCGCCGCTCTCGGCCTCGCCGCCGCCTTTGTTTTCCGCCATGTTTTCCTCTTTGAACCCGCCGGACCGCCCCGCGCCGCCCGCCGCCCGCGTCGCCGCCGCCGCCCCCAGCCTCAGCCGCAGCCGCAGCGAGAACGGCCGCCGAGAGCGAGCAGGCGAGCGAACCCACGAGAGCGCGCGCGCACGCGGCGCCCCGCCCTCGCGTCGCGCGGGTGAAGGCGGGCGAGCGCGGCGCGCGCACGTACGCCCCTACGTTCTCCGGGGGAGGCGGGAACTTGGGGCGCGGGCCCGGAGCGGTCTGAGGAACTTGGGCTCGCCTCGGGGGCCCTTGTCCGGCGTCAGGGCAGCGGTTTGTTAGCTCCGAAGGCGCAGGCCGTAGATGCTGGATGGTGTTTGGCGGGCACTGGTTTTGAGTCCAAACGCAGCGGCGGTGCGAGGAGACCGGGGGGGGGGGGGGACGCCGCCGAGGGCTTCTCGGAGACGTCTCCCGGGAGGCGCAGTGCTCTGCGCCGCGCGCGTCTCCTCGGGGCCTCACCTGCCGCGCCGACGGACGCCCGGGCCTTCTCGTCCCCTGCAGGCCTGGCTCGGGAGCGGGAAAACGGGGCCTTTTCTTCTTTGAACTGCAGGTGTACCAGAAATAGGCTGAAAAGACTTGATGAACTCCTTTGCAGCTATTTTTAGCTGTAAAGTGTAGGTGAGTCTTAGCCGTAGCTACAGATCAGAAAACCAACGGAAGAGCTTTTTCAAAGCAGAGATGTCAGGGCCACACCCCAAACCTGAGTCAGGAAGTGGGGGAGAGAGTGGATGGACGATGATTCTGATGTGCGTACGGCTGGGGAGCCACCTGTCTAACCTAGGTTTTGCCCTTCCGAGAGTCCCACTTCCTGGGTAGGGCTCGGTGACAGTGCCTGACACTATCTGTAATAGGGTTGTCTTCTAGCGGGGCAGAGGGGCGCACATTTGTCATTCCAGTGCTCTGGGACCCTCAGAGGCAAGAGGGTCGCGAGTTCCAGCCCAGCCTGGATGGATTAGCAAGACCATGTCTTAAAATTAAAAGATCTAGGAAGGTAGCTCAGTACAGAAGCCCTGTGTTCAATGCCCAGTACCACCAAAAAAGGAAAAAAGTGATCTTTTTATTTGAAAAAGTATTTGGGGGACTTTCTGAGGTGCAACAGCACTTTTAGTATTAGGCTTGTAAATTCTAGAAATAACGCTGGTGTGAATCCTTAGCACCATTCGAGGGCTAGGGTATAGCTCAGTGGTAGAGCCCGTAGGTTCCATCCCCAGCACCACAAAAGATACATTAATAAGAAGAAGTCACATGAAAACCGTTTTCACTTATTCTTTAAAAAATATTTATTAACCTTCTTAACATGCATGAGGCAGTGTTAGATGTGCTGGGGTTACAGTAAGAACAAAATAATGGTACTCTTGCCTGCAAGTAGTTTACACTAATGTAGGAAAATAAGTGTGTCAGAGAGTAGTAAATGCTATTTTAAAAAAAATAGGGTGAAAGGAATTAGATGAGGAGGAAGGCTTCTGTTGATAAGGGGCAGAATCCTGTGTACAAAAGAACGTTGAGGCTAAGGAACTGGTATCAAGTGCAAAGGCCTGAGGTAAACAGGTATTCTGAGCTTGTTGGAAGACCAGCAAATAGAGTCTTTGTGCCTGGAGCGGTTTGAGCAAGGGCTAGAGTAGAAAATTTAAGATAAAAGTATTAAGGGGGCCGGGCCCTATATAGATAGGATCTTTTTTAAAAAAACTTTTGCACCCTTTATAAGACTTTAGAATATATTTTCTCCTGTCAGACATTTTAAGTTGACTAAAATTTGCCATAAGTTTAAATAGTTGCAGTTTTTTAATACTGATGTCTTGTAATACTGACGTTTAAAGTTACCAGGTACTTTTTAAACCCAACAGAAAAGTAAGCATTAAAATGGTTTAATACCATCAACCCTTTTTAAAGCAGTTAATCAAAACCTATTAGACGCCGCCTGCTGCGCAAGCACAAGGACCCGAGTTCGATCCCCAGTACCAAAAAAATAAAAATTAGATTTTGTTAGGTTTTAAACATGGAAAAATAAGGTATTAGGAATGTATTTTTTTTATGTCTTAAAATGAGTTATTTGGAAGACCCTTTTCCCCACAATCAGTTGAGGTAGCCATTACAACATTGCTAAAATGAGACAGAGTCCTTTATCAATTCCATTTTTTTATTTTTAGAGACTTAAGCACTGCATTGAAAACTCGGGCCCACCAGGCATGGTGGCACATGCCTATAATCCCAGCACTCCGGAGACTGAGGCAGGAGGATCGCCTCAAATTCCAGGCCAGCCTGGCTACTAGTGATCTCTAGCCCAGCCTGAACTACATAGACTTATAAAAAAAGAAAAAAAAT